ATTTTATTCAGAATAATGAGTAGATGCAATCAAATTACTCCCACCTCATCAGATAAGTTTTGCTTTTTTGTGTTTTTTTTAGTTTGGCTCTGTTGATTAATGAGGGAGACACTTGCTGATTCTGCACAAACATTTTTCCCGTCTACCCAACATCAGCCGTCGCTGTAGCGTCTGCATACAGTGCGAAAAAATGGATGTAGCAGCCGCATTTTATCATCTTGCTAGTGGTTAAATTTCTCTAAACTGTCATTACAAGAACATGCACACACGCTGAGCGTGTAACACGTTAGTTTATGATATGTAAAGAAGAAATTTAACACTGCCTGCAGATGAATGTTAGGCATGCAATGTGAATTAATGGCTGTCATTACCCTGTGGCTACGCATTCCAGTGACGTATTGTGTGTTTGCTTCGTTAGGTGTCTTTACACAATACGATGCCAACTTTAGACTTTTCAAAGTTTTATGAGAATTCATTTCAAACATTTTAAGCTACTGTGTTCACAGACAGAATGACACACATACAAACCCTAGTTAATACATAACCGCTTTGGTTTAGGTAATTAAAGGACACATTTTTTTTTCATCATGTTTTGGGCTACAGCTCCATAGGGCTCCATTCATTCATGAGCACCCACGATGCAGCCGGAAGCTCAGAAAGTGGAAGTTTTCCTAATTAGAAATCACAAAATGTCAATTTTTATATGCATCTACTGTGACGTGAATAACACAAACAAAAATCTGAAATATTTGTTTTTATTGTTGGCCTTGAGCCAGGCATTGATGATTAACATAGTTTCACTGTAAAATCTTTATTTGTTAAGGAGCCAGTAACCACAGTGGTCAGTGGATAAAAAAAAAGAAAACACTTCTTTATGAATGCAACTGGTTTGAAATACAAATGCTGTCTTTAAGAGAACAATATTTAATTAGTGCTGCATCTGAAACCGTCTCCAAAGTCGGAGATGGTTTCAGCAGGCTCCTCTTGTTGCAAAGCGCCAATGTTCCTGCGGTTTTATCTCATTTTCCGCCCGAGAATACTGTAGCGCTTATCAGATCAATTAGAATACGATGCTAAGAAGCTACTTTCATCAAAATGTAAAAACACAATTCTGTCTGACCTAATTATAATACAAGAGCCTTTTTCCCGAGGCGCTTTTATGAAACATACCGCTTTACTTATTTTATAAAGGCGCTGTCACACCGTGGAATCTTTTTGCTAAAACAATAATAAAGTGACAGAACAACATAATGAAATGAAACGGCACAGACAGGTAGGATGGGAAGCGGGGAGTAACACGGGAGAAGAAAAGCTAAATAAATTTTGCATGCGCCTTGCAAATTCAGCCTGCAAAGATGCAGCGGGAGACTGTGTGTGTGCCTGCTCTCTCTCATAAGTGGGCGTTACACTGGCATAAGCCTTAAGAGAACTTGACTGAGTGCCATCCGGTGACACCCGCTTTTCTTTTTGTCTACCGTTCCAGCTTTTTTCCTGCTTATTGCCATCACCCTCCTCTTTTTTTGGCTTTGTCTCTATCCCCTCCCCTTCTCTCCTCCTGTGGCCTCACACCATTCTTACCTGGGAGGCTACGAGTCACTGCTTCTGCTTTTCATACTTAACAGCCACCCATTCGTCCATCTTTTTACCTCCCCTTTCACTCCCTCTTCTCATACCTCCATCTGTCCCTCGCCTTTCTTTATCTGCCTTTAAAGCAGGAGGCAGAAAAAAGGCTAGCGGGTCCTTTGTGTGCCCGGCCTCAGTTTGTGCTCAGCCAAGCAGACACAGCTCTTAAATCCAGGCCTGGGTTTTTGGCACAATAGGAAGGCTCAGGTCTTGTAAAAGGCCCTATGGTTCTCCCTGTCTCTTTCCACCTTTCCCTGAAAAAGACAGAGGGGCGGTTATTCTAAACAGGAGGACGAGAGTGTATGGAAAAGGGGGAACAAGATGCAGATGCTTAAAAGAGCGGACATAATTCTCTTCATCAAAGTGCAGCAGCAAAGATGTTCTTTACTCTTTTCACTCCCACTATCCAACTTCCCTTCCCCGAGCCAAGCAACACTGGAGCCTTATTTTTTTCCCTTCCCTTATTCTCCTTCAAGGCGAATGAATTAACTGAATGAATTAACACCAAGGCGGCTGCTGCTGTGATCATCATCATCGCGTTCCTCCTCATCAGCAGCAGTTTTGACGGAGCTTTTTAACACCTATAAGGATCGCACTGCTGACACTGAGGCAGGAAGAAGCAAAGATGTCGACAACCTTATCAGGAAAAGCAAAAAAGAGAGGAGAAAAAAAACCCTCATCAAGTAGCAAGGTATCACAGTCAGGCTGCTACAGTCTTTAGCCCAGAGCCTTGTCAAGTCTCTTGGCACTACTAAAGAAACCTTACTGCTGATGATGATAGGAACAGTGGAGGGGGAGGTGAGATGTGGAGGAGAAAGCAAAGGCGGAGGGAGGACGAAAAGAAGAACCAAATTTAGGAGTGAGGAAAAAGGGGGGAAAGAGGAAGGGTGAAAAGGTATAAAGGTGAGAAAGACGATGAGAAGAGCGCAGGGAAACAAGGTGTTTAAGTTGTTGATCACGACGGGGGAGAAGCACCGCATCTTCAAAGAAAGAGAAACAGACAGGGCAACATTTGAAGCAAGAAGATGGAGGTCTGAGAGGAGAAGAAGAGGGGGAGTCTGGGAGAGCTGCAGTGAGGATTTTAATTAGCGGTAATTGGCCACCGAGGGAACAGAAATTGGGAGACGGGAGGCAGGAAGAGAAGAGAGGGGTGCATAACAGCCAGTTTTTGACAGAGTGATATCTCTCTTGCTTTATGCCTCTCTATTTCCTTCAGTCCTTTTTCTGTCTGATCTTTTCCAGATCCATCTCACTCTCCCTCCATCTTTTTCCACCTCCAACTGTGCGATTCCCACTTTCCCCAAACAGTATCTTTTACTTTCAGCCAATTTCCCCAAAACACAAGACAATATACTGTGCTGTATTTGGCACAAGAGACACCAGAAAGTAATATCTGCAAGTAATACTAAAAAGTTTACCACGGTTTACTGAGGCGCAGGATACATTAAAAGTGTTATTTGGGGGGAGGGGCTGGGATCTAGAAAAAAAAGGTGTGATAAATATGTGTAGGACCTACATTTAAAATGAGCCGTTCTGTGATTAACTTGGTGCAAATTCAGGCTCATATTTACAAATGTATGTTAATTGTGTTTCCACAGGAAGTAGTTGCACCTGTACAAGTTGCAATAAGTTTCACAACTCGACCCTTAAAAATCTAAAGCTGTAGCAGATTTCAATTTGGCAGACAACTCCTTTGAGGTTGTCTCCTTATGAAGTCCTGGACCAATTTAAGCTCTCCCATTCTGGCCGTTTCCAATTGTGCATTTGCAGTGCACACTCCAGCAACCCTTGAACTTTCATTTTGGGGTGGAGAAGCAAGCCACAGTGAGCTACACTGCCTTCAGGTTTGAACACTGTAAGAGTCTGTCTTGTAGCTAGAAAAGCATATAGTTTCACCTGTAATGATTCTACACATGAAGATTGGATAAATTGATGAGTGGTTGCTGGAGATGCTGGCTGTCACCTGTTGAAATCAGGTGCATCTACCTCCTTGTGATTGCTTTGGTTGCTAGGAGATTACCAAATTGCCCATGTTTGCATGGAAGATGGTGACCTGTCTGCAAATACTCACTAGCTTGAGATATACTGGAAAAAATTGCCTTTTAAGTAGAAGTTGTTCTTTATCACCACACATTTCAAAAAGACACAACTTTTAGTTTCAGGGAAACGCTCTACATTTCTAGTTAAAGTCACACTTTTCTTAGTTTTACTTCCACTTCGTGGGTAGTTCGCAAACATCTGCTAAGTACAGGTGACTGAAGCCATCTGCTAGTGCTTGTGTTGGAGGTTACTGACAACAGCCAGCAGTCTCCCACTGTCAGAGAAGACACATTTTTCCCCAGTGATCAGTGGTTTCTAAACCTGTGCACCTGAGACCTTACATTGGTACTAGCTCTAGCCTGCTGGACCCAAACAGCTGCTAAACAGTTACAGTTTAACATGTAGTAAAGATCCATCTTTCCACAATAAACAAGATAGTTTTAGCCTTAATTGTAACTTCAGGTCAGCTCATCTTGAAATAATCTTGATGCTCTGGACCTACTGGAGTGAAAATAAGAAATACAGTTTAACATTTTTAGCTTGTTTTCTGAAATAATTACTTATTGGACATTTACACTGCTTCAACTGATCTCAAAGGAAAACAGGACTGTCAGGTATTAGCTGTGATAGCATGGCACTTACCACTGAGATCTGGGAACACAGAAACATTGCTGAAAACAGATACAAGTGGGAAACAAACAGAAGCTGCCATTTTATCTAGAAGTACAACTCAAAGTGAGTTCAACTGAAAAATGTAGGAGGCCACTGCAGATAAGTATGCTGTGCTCAGACTGATGTTTACAGGTAGGTAAAAGGCGCTGATATTACTCTTCACCTGCACAGCTGTTTGCTTTCAGCCTGGGTCATTAAACTATTTGGTGATTTTCCACAGTCTGACATTTTTATATATTTTTCCCCTTTCAAATTGTATTACTCTGCTGCCCAGACTGCGCTACATTACATTCACAGAAAGCTATTAGGTAGTAGAGCTGGCTGCTTGTTGTCTTTATTTGGAGTCTTGTTTTGTAATTTCATAATCATCCAGATCTTAACTCCAAATGTCAAAAATGTTTATTTTTTTAATCTGCAAACAATTTGGGAGGTTTAAGAGTGGTTCTGTAAAAACCCTCCACTTTACCAGATAATCTGGGCTGAACATCGGTGTCTGTGAGTCTCAGAGCAGTTTTCTCCTCCAAACGTTGACAGGAGTGAATCAGGGTTAAATGTGCCCAAAACCCCTGCTGTCTGAGCCTCTAGCTCTCTTTATTGACATCACTAAAGCCAAGGGGTGCTTTTTCTAACGGGGAAGTTGCCAGTTGTGTTATCTTTTGACTCACCCTCCTGCACCTTCTGTCCCCAGTGCTGTATCTCTGTGTGTTTGGGAGTAGAGCTGGCTGGGGAACAAGTTAGCAGGGTTACAGCTGTGTTTATCGGTACACAGGTGAGCTCAGGGCCATGAGTCGCCCAGACAACACGCTGGCCCAGGCTCCCTTGTCTGGCAACTGCAAAAAAAATAAAATAAATAAATAGAAGAAAAAGGCAAAAGAAAAAAGAGAGGAAAAAAAAACATTTGCACACACCTACACATGTGCAGAAGCATCTTACAGCATCTAACGGGCTCACAAGTGAGCAGCGCACACAAACAGGAGGCTCCTCTCCTAATCGAGTCCTAATTACAGTGGCTCATATGCCTCAAAGCTGACAGTTTCTGATTTAACTGCCTTTACATTTTGGCTGAGATTTGACTCCGACCTGGGCCAGCTGTCATTTATCAGCTTCCCCGAATTGCACGCAACTGTTGCTAAACAGCAGCAGTAGTGTGGCGTGCACTCTGGGTGTTGCTAGGTTACGATACCAGGCTGCTGATGGCTAAGTGGCTGCGGGATCATCGATGGACACTCTGCATAGAGGGCTGACAGCAGGTCTTCTGGACCATTTGGCAACTTGTGAGTCAGATGCTCTTGAAATCCCACATCTGGTGGCAAGCCCATACAAATCAAGATCAAAGTGCTGCCTTTGAGACCGAGCCCATCTCTCAACCTTTCTGCCTCTCCTGTCGAGTTTCATTTTCATTTCTCTCTCTTCAGCTGTTCCTCTGCCTTCACGCATTCCTCTGCCTGCTTTGTCACCCCTCCTTTGCTTTCCCTCTGTTGTTGCTGTCTTGACTCGCTCGCCCTCCTGCTGAGAGGTAATCAAGCCCTGTTGTGAGTGTTTAAGCATTGGAGCAGACGCACGTTGAATTATTCTCAGGACTTAATATTTTGTCTGGGAGGGGAGAACCAGCCTCCTTACCACATGCTGGGTAAAGGCCACGCACACATAAGTGCAACACCGAGAAGGTGTGTGCGTGGATGTGCGCGCACACACACCCACACATGGTTAGTCAGTGAGTCAGTGAGTCAGAAAGTTGTCAGTCACACAGATCTCATGCTGACAGAGTTACAGGTACCAGACTGATAGGATCTGACAGGCAGACCCCACCGCGTGCAAGGATATACTGCACTGGCACAGCGTATCCACCACCACATGAGCGAACGCAGCCTGTGAAACAGGCTGTATGACTAAGTACAGGAGAGCAAAACAAATGCACACAATTGCACATAAATATGCACTCATAAAAAACCCAGTGACAAGCAGCCAAGCATCCGCTAACACGCACACAAAAATGACAGCTAACATCCTCAAAGTTAAACAAGTGAACCAACAAAGGAGAACAGACAATGTAAGAACTCATCTCCCCCTAATTCCCTTCAGTCTTCAGCTCCTCTCACATCTCTCCTCTCCTCTACGCCGCTTCATTTATTTCTTCCTCTCTCCAACCCTTTCCTTATCTATCTTTCCTACTCCTGCGCTCCATTCTGCCTTGAGCTCGCCTTTATCAGCGCTTCTTCTCCTTTTTTTCCCCCCTCTCTTCTTTCCTTTTCTCTGCCACTGTGAACTTAAACTCTCAGTAGAACCAGAAGCTGATATCACACAGCCTCAGTGCTGCTTTAATCTCACTCGGAAAAAAAACACCGACGCACGCTCACACCTGGGTGGCCGTTATAATGCTCAAAGCTTGGCTACTGCATTATTTCCATACCTATTAGTGTCATGCTCCTTTGCAGCTCCACACCCCCAGATGTCTTTCATTTCCCCCCCTACCTCAATCTAAATTGCCTCAAGTGATGTCATCACTATAAGACAGTTTATCAGATTTTCCTCAGCTCACTCCTGAGCCACAAACACATCCAACCTTCTCTCCATATTTAGCAGTAGTCCCCCAAAGCTGTGAACAGACTGTGATAAAAATCAGCGGAGTTCTCCTTTAAAATATCCCATTTAGAATAATGAAGGTATTACAGTTACCTCTCTTTGCCACACTTTTAGTTTTTGTCATCTTTTGCATAAACCTTTAGCACTATAGTCCCACGCAGAGCTGATATTAGTCAATTAGTTGCCAATCTGAGTTTCACTTGTGGTTTTTTGGTGTTTCAAGCAGTTAAGCTGATAAAGATGCAAGACTGGTAAAGAGGCAGGACTCTAAAAAGAACAGGTGAGCCAACCTAGAAAACAACTAAATGAATGTTTGTCTATAGTGGCCGGTAAACCTCTTGACATTTGTGAGCAAAATGGCCCAAAAACACTCCTTGATCTAAAGCCAGAAGAAGGTAAATATGTTTGGCTTTGAGGCAAAAAGCCCAATTATTAGCTAAGCAATGCTAACACACTAAACGTGCACTAAACCGAGAAATAATCCATCAATTTTTTTTGCCATTTTTAACATTCAAGGCTGTGATTTGATCAGGCAAGAATATTAGAGAGAGATTATTGGAGATCACCTGAATCGCCTGGGTTTTTCAGCGAGCCAATAACTCTATATCAAATTACCCTGCTCCGCCTCGCAGAAATGTAACCAGACAGAAAGATACGAGCAACTGTGACTGGTCCTCTTGGTAATGATGCACTGTGTATGCATGTAAATTGATCTGTGCAAAGAAATGTTCTCTTGTGAAACAAAATGTAATATTTTATGTGTTTATTGTACAGTATGTGGTTATATCTAAATGCACGCAGTAGCCTGAAACATGTACAGTATAGTATATATCTTCAATGTTTGAAGATGCTGTTGACCACCGATCAACAAACTTTTTCTATATTTTTTTTAGTAAAAACTTCCATAAAATGATCTTTAATTTAGCAAGATTTATTCTTGTCCCTTAACTATATGTCTGTTTTCTTATTGTCTTCTCTGTTATGCTAATAATTTCATCTCAATAAGACCTCAGTAGACACATCAGCTGAAGGCCAGATGCGTCTCTCAGGTCCTGTGTCAGGACTTTCTTAAGAACATGACTTTCAGATACTTTTCATCTGCTGTGGATATTTTTTTTAGACCTGACACTTCTTCTTTTGTCCTCCACTTGTCCATTTTTCCTCATTTTATAAGGACACATTCTGAGATATGCCACGTTTTCAGTTAATAGCTCTTGGGAATCACCTTGTTGGTGCAAAAACATTATTTTATGTCTGTCAAGCTGTTTTATAGTCTGCATTATTCCTCAAATTCAACTAAAGAAATGGGAACAAATTATGCTTTTTTTGACAGGTTGCTTGTAACAAAGTGCCTAAAGATACCATTTAAAATGGTCTGTCATATGTGGACAACGCGTAAGATAGGTGCTCCTTTTTTATTCTTGAATGGTTTATGGGTCAATTTGGTTTACCAAAAAAGCAAAAATTCCCATGAAAACCAAAAATTAGTGGTGAAAAAGTGTAAAAAGAACTTCAGAAAGCCCAGAGAAACAGAGAAAGTCTGGCTCCTTGGAAGGAAAATATAAAGAAAGGGGTGGTGTGGCTCAAGACTTTTGCACAGTACCGTACTTCAAGCTATCACAAAAAAGCTCGTCTAAGACAGTTCAGGCTGTGTTGACGATCAAGCTTGTTAAAATGATAGAAACTCAGATTTTTGGCTTATATACTGTATCCCCACAAAGGTTTGCTTAAAATATAAAGATATTAGGACTGGCTCCAAACTTTAAGGGAGTATTTTTATAGCAAAAAAATAACACAAATAAATATATTATAGTTAGAGGCTTATTTATGTCCCAATAACTGTGTTTTTCAGGGTTTTTAAAATAAAATTAAATGGCTAAAATAAAATAAAGTGACTGTCAGCTTTTGTGATTTATGTAAATGCAGAGTTCTGATCTCCTACTTAATTAAATGTCTTGTAGATATGAAGAAAGTTGGAGGAGAACACCTAGAAAAGTGCCTCCTGTCATGTTGACCCTACAGTTTCATCACATTACACAAGCAGCAGTGGAGTGCCACTTAATAATTGAGTTCCATTTACTCTGCTATAAATGGAACTCAGTGATACAGCCGAGTTTGTGCTGCTGCTCGGGTTTGAGGTAAAGAGGGGAAACTGAGCTACTTTAAGACCTCTCTAAGAGAAAAAAATGCACAAGTTATTTAAACTAATTCGTTAAAAGAGGAAATTGTTGATATTAAGACAGCACCAATTCCTTATTAAAAGCCATTTTTTAAATTCATGAAGCAGTTTAACCTTCGTTTTTCTAGAAAGACTCAACAGTGCAACTCTTTTTCCACATCATCCTGCATCCCTGTTACACTTTCCCCACACATTCACACCTGGAAGCTGTCCAGCAGAAACACATGGAAGCAGCCTCACCGGAGCTGCTAGAAGTTACACAAACACTTTATACTCACACTTTGCAGGAAGGCGGTAGCCGCAGGTAATCTTGGCCTCTCCTGTCTTACAGCCGTTGAGCGAAGCACACTCCTTTTTTAGCATGGGACCAGCAGCGCGGTGGATCGCTCCGTCCACTGGAAAGGAGACGACAGGAGATTTAAAAAAGTTGGCCTACTTATGTGAATCCCCTGCAATCTCACTAATTACAGCAGCCAGAGTGTGGTTTGAAGTCCAGCAGACACTTTTACTGGAGTCGAGGCTTAGTGCTAAAAGGACCTGGATAATGTTGGTATTAGCGGTGAACGCTTGAATTTCCAGGCTTCTGCAGGTTACTAACTTTTCACCCCTAATCCTGCTTGCATCTGTCTCTCTACATGTCAGTCTATTTAATGGATTTTAAGGCTATTGCCTTCCTTAATTACTTGATTTAATGTGTTATTAAGGACTCAGCTGACTTTGACTTTTTGGGCAATTACTCTTTATTAATTAAATTTTCATAAATCTACATAATATTCATAAATGTGTATCTGTCTTTGATCCCCACCACATCTAAAGACCGTGACTGTGTTCATTTCCAGGAGGGCAATGATGCGGCTGAAGCAATTTTACAGCTGTGCCAATTACATTTTCAGACAGAATCTATGCACCCCTTGCAGTCAGACTTATTTCTTCAAAGTTCATTTTGATACAGTTTTATTATTATGATTTGCAGCATTATGAAAGCGAGAAAGAAGAATTTAATGCGTCTAATTCACACTTCAAGGAAAAAAAGCACTAAAAATATCAAACTTCAACAAATGAGCTTTTAAAATCATGTAAAACAATAATCCATCCACAGAGACACTATAACAGTAACCGTAATAACGTAGATTTTCTGTGATTTGATTGACTCATTGATCACTGATCAGCTGGGGTGAAGAGGAGGAATAAGCTGGAGGTCCAACCAAGTCTTCCAGAAATTACATTTACATATTCCCATTTTTCAGCATTCAGGTTCTTCTGTGGCGTTTTTACATTTCTTTTATTAACATATCGTGAAACCTTTTGGGACATTGTGGTTCACGGGCTTTAGCTTAACAGCCGAGGCCAACAGAGCACCCACGGGTGGTTTTTAATAAAAGTAAAACACCTGTTTGCTGAAAACATATTTCATTTGTTTGAATAATGATGACTAATGCTATTCTATGCTTTCTAATGATTTTGGGAAAGATCACGATTATCCTTAGATAAAAGTCAAGAGTGAGGAAAACCTCAGGAAATGCTCACCTAATTTACTGACTATAAATCACTTCATTATTTTTTACCAAACATTTTAAAACATAGTTGTCCCAAACCTTGTGATACATAACTGTACTCAAGTCAGTACTTTGAGGTGCGTAGGCATGGTCAGGTCAATCCAGTGAAGTTCAAAGCGAGCATCAGAATGAGGAAGAAAGGTGATTAAAGTGACTTTGAACGTTGGTGCCAGACGTGCTGCCCCAAATATTTCAGAAACTGTTGCTCTACTGGGATTTTCACACAGATCCCTCTCTAGTGTTTACAGAAAATATTGTTTTTTTTAAGTTAAATATTCAGTGAAAATCAGTTCTCTGGGCAAAAAAGCCCTGTTGATACTAGAGGAGAATGGTCAGACTGCTCTAAGCTGATAGGAAGGCAGTAGTAAGTCAAACAACCACTCATTAAAACCTAGATATACAGAAGAGCATCTCTGATTGCACAACACATGGAGTAGAGCAGCAGAAGACCACACCGGGTGTAACCACTGTCAGCTAAGAAAAGGAGACTGAGACTACAATTCACACAGGCTCACCAAGACTAAAAAGATTTGAAAAGTATCTCCTGGTTTAATGAGTTTTGATTTCTGCTGCAACATTCAGATGACAGGGTCACAATTTAGCATGAACACCATTAAACATTAATCCATGTGCCTTTATCAACAGCTCAGGCTACTGGTAGTGTAATTGAGGTAAGGGAGACTTTCTCAGCACACTCTGGCCCCCTTAGCACCAATTAAGCATCAGTGAAACACCACAGCCTGTCTCTGCGTTTTTGCCGACCATGTTCATCCCTTTATGACCACAGTGTGCCCATCTTATAACTGCTGCGTCCAGCAGGATACACATCGTGTCACAAAGGTAAAATCATCCGAAACTTGTTTACTCAACATGCCAATGAGACATGACACTACACTCAGGCCTCAACAGTTAGCAAATCTCAATCCAATAGAGCACGTTTGGGAAGTGGTAGAATAGAAGATTCACGTCGTGGATATGCAGCCCACAAATCTGCAGCAACTGTCTGATGTTGTCATGTCAAAAATGACCAAAATGTGTGAGGAATGTTTCCAGCAGCTTGTTGAATAAATGATGAATTAATACAGCTATGAAGGCTAAAGGGTTACAACCCAGTACTAGCAAGGTGTACCTAATAAAGTGTACAGTGGGTGTATACTCTAAATCAGGTGTGTAAAACATAAAACCCTGTGTTTCTATATGTTTTACAGCTTTTCCTGCAGATAAAGACCTCCCCCACAGATATTCATACTACACCAAAGTAATTGGTGGTGTAGGTATTAGTTAAATCAGGGGTGTCAAACTCCAGGCCTCAAGGGCCAGTGTCCTGCAGGTTTTAGATGCGTCCTTGATCCAACACGACTGATTTAAATGGCTAAATTACCTCCTCAACATGTCTTGAAGTTCTCCAGAGGCCTGGTAATGAACTAATCATTTGATTCATGTGTGTTGACCCAGGTCGATATCTAAAACCTGCAGGACACCGGCCCTCGAGGCCTGGAGTTTGACACCCCTGAGTTAAATAGTTCAATGACAGAAAAGTTCCTGTTTTGTTTGTTTTTAAACCAAGAAAAAGTTTCATATGAAAATAAGTAAAATCAGTTCGATGTACTGCAAGAAAGAACAGGTTCTTAGCTTCACCACGGTGGAGGAAGGCCATGGTGATATGAAAGGTAAGCCTTTCACTCACAGTTACAAGTAAGGAACAATATTGTTTGAACCGTGAATGTGTTTTTAGGAGCACATGCAAAAGAAAGACTAGAAAAGCCAGCCTGAGCAGCATCTTATTTTCCCCCCAACAAAGGTCTGCAACACAACATCCATGACAATGGCACTGTCAGTTATCTGTGTGTTCTTTGTGCAGCCTCTCCACTCACACACACACCTACACACTGCAAAGATACACCGATGTATTGGAGACCTTGAGCTCAGGTGAAGTCAAGCACAACTTCTTCTAGAGTTAACAACTGCTCTAATTACTATAACTATAAAATTTTGTGGGTTAATAACACACATTGCCCTACCAGCTCGTACTAAAGTGATCTTTTCTACTCTAACATCCACTTTTGGCTTGTTTTACACAGCCACAGCTCTCTTGCAAGGCTAAAATGAGTTGCCAGAAACATTTTAAAATGAAAGCAATGTGTGAAGACTAACTGTGAGCCTAATTTGTTATCAATTTCCAGCTTTGCCAGATTCTAGAAAGCGCTGTTACAGACAGCCGCCCTCCTCTCTCTATAGCAGTGATTCTAGCAGCATGCTACTTTCTACTTCTATTCCACTACATTTTGAGAAGCTTTCACTACATTTATTTTAGAGTGCAGTTACTAATTATATAGTAGATTGAGATTATTAATATCAATTATACATGTAAGGAGAAACTATCCTATCTAAAAACAGACTACACCAAATAGCAATACACACCGATCAGGCACAACATTATGACCACCTGCCTAATATTGTGTCGGTTCCCCTTTGCTGCCAAAACAGCAATGGTCATTGAGGCATGGACTCCACTAGATCACACAAGATGTGCTATGATATCTAACGCCAAGGTGTTAGTAACACATACAGTAAGTCTTGTAAATTTCGAGGTGTCCAGCACATTTCACAGATGCTCGATTGGATTGAGATCTGGGAATCTGGAGGCCAAGTCAGCACCTCAAACTCATTGCTGTGTTCCTTAAACCATTTATGAGCCAGTTTTGCTTTGTGGCAGGGGGCATTATTGTGCTGAAAGAGGCCAGAGCCATCGGGGAATACTATTTCCATGAAAGGGTGTGCATGATCTGCAACAATGGTTAGGTAGGAGTAACACATGGATGGCAGGACCCAAGGTTTCCCAGCAGAGCACTGCCCAAAGCATAGTACATCCTGGTGCGAGGTGTACTATGCTGTAAGTGTAAGTGACTAACACACGCCCGGCCATCGACATGTAAAAAAAAGGAAAACGCGATTGATCAGACCAGGCCACCTGCTTCCATTGCTACGTAGTCCACTTCTGATGCTTACATGCCCTTTGTTAGGACTTTACGGTGGACAGGGGTCAGCACAGGTACTCAGACTAGTTTGCAGTTATGCAGCCCCATATGCAAAAAACTGCAATGCACTGTGTATTCTGACACTCTTCTACTGAACCAGCATTTTGAGCTACAGTAGCTCTTCTGTTGGATAAGACCCCACGGGCATCAGTGAGCCTTGGGTGTCCATAACTCTGTGAGTGGTTCACCAATGTTCCTTCCTTGGACGGCTTTTGATAGATACTGACCACTGCAGACCGGTAACACCCCACAAGAGTTGCAGTTTGGACATGCTCTGACTCAGCTATCTAACATCACTGTTTGGCCCTTGTCAAACTTACTCAAATCCTTACACTTGCCCATTTGTTCTGCTACTAACACATTAACTTTGAGGTCAAAATGTTCATTTGCTCCCTAATATATCCCACCTCATAGCAGGTGAAGAAATAATCAGTGTTATTAACATAACCTGTCAGTGATCATAATGTTATATTTGATCAATTGAGCAATAACCAACCAATGGAAAAAACATCCATCCATCCATTATACAATTCAGGGTTGTGGGGTCAGGCACTGACGCGAGGAAGGAGGACTGGTTCACCCTGCACAGGTTGCCATTTAAACATGCGCACTATGATAGTTGTCAGCACTTGTTCAAAATAGTTTAATATCATCAGTCCATATGCCAGAGCTCAACACATAGGTCTGGTTCTTATCTGTCTCTCTGTGTACAGACCAGACGTTACGGCGGTGTGTTTCGCTAAACTGAGTGGCTCCAGGCGGGGGCCTGATGTTATCTGTGTTAAGCTGGCATATTGCTGA